CTGGGACCACATGGTCATTTAGGTTTGGCAGCGTTTCTAGTAGAGAGCAGCAGATAGCTTGAGCAAGAACTGAGACTGTACTTATGAATCGAGAAAATGTAACTTCATGATAAACAGATGTTAAGATTTTGTGCTAAACTATCACTGGCTCACTGATGCCCATATTTCATCATTTGGTTGTCTTTTATGGAGAATGATGACTATTCTGATGCAGAGTTTAATGAGGAAAGGAGAAAGTAACATGGAAAGAAGAAATAATAACTATTGAGATGAGCCTCAACAACAAGGAACTGACTCCATTTGTACGACTGGGAAAGGAAAATGTCCAAAACACGACCCAGAGGCAGAAATGGAAGTGCTCATGTGGGAAAGTTTACTACAGGGATGGTAATGGATACAGAAATAATATGTCCCGCTTTTTTCCCCAGGCTAATTGTTCTTGTGGAAAAATGATTGGTGGTCCATGTGTCACAGAAATGGTTTGTGAACTCTGTTAATTCAAACTCTGCTGATCATTTAGTTATTTTCTGTCCCTGTATGAGTATCAATGTAACTGACTGTCTTTCACATTTATTAACTGTGAAGACATTGTTTTAGCTTCGGTGATTAACTTGTTGTGCAATGTATCACATATCAAAGTAAAGTAAAAAAATAAATAAAACAACTGTGTTTTCTTAATGTTATTTTATTATATTAACTATATATGTTTCGCTTCAGTAATTTCTTCTAATGTAGCAATTAATTATTTTAGTTTGAACCCTTTTACTTTATTTCACCTGCAAGTTGAAGACGTGTGTCTCCATCTACTGGTGGTGCTCTCACATTGTACACACAGCTCTTTGGTCTTATTAATAACAACAAAGAAACAGCTGTTGTTTTATACAATGTAAATGATCTGATAAATAATAAAGTGAGAATATTTTTAATATGTGCAATGTTTTTATGTATCTGATTAACTGAATCGAAAACATTGCATTTTCATCTGTGTTAATTAGAAAAAAAAGTTACTGAATTTGCCAGTTTATTAAGTACACCTTTGTCAGTCTAAAAGGTAAAGTAAATAACTTTGGATTAACTTTTAATTAGTTTCCATTTAAAACTGAAAGACTGAGAACCAGGCTGGAAAATACTGCTGGTCTTACACGACACAAAAACTTTGTGATTGTGTAAGATGGCTCGTTTTTCTACAGTAACTTGTCAGCACATACAGGGCACAATTGTATAAAAGTTTATAATCTAAAAAGTTTCCAATTTAAAATATAAAATAGAATAATAATACAGAAATAATACGGAAAATATTACGACGTAATCGGGCTCCGAAGGAGGAGCAGCCCCTGAATTTGGACACAGTCCAGGTCTGTAAAAACGCAGTGATTTCCCCTGATTCAGCTC